GGGGGGGGTTGGAAAATGGGCTATTGAAAGTCAACCAGCAGTTTTTATCCTTTTAAAAATCAGATTTTCACAGAATTTTTGAACAAGTGAGTTTAAAAATCATTCCCTCTAAATTTATCTTATTCACAGATGAACAAAATCACTTTCACAGAAATTATATGTTTAGTTATGATCCTGTAGTAATAGAACCATGATTAGAATCCAGATTCCTGGACCACAGTTTGATATGCTTGATGTTCAGCTAACCTATAAAATTAAATTAGGGATGATGGTTTAAGAAAAGAATTCACATAAAAATTCTCATTTATTTCCTACATTCAGCATATTTTCATTTCCTGTAGTCCCACTTATTTCAACTTTAAAAGCCATAAAATATGACATAACATTTTCCTGTATAAATCTCAAGGCTAAGGTATAAACAACATCCATTCATTAAAATGTCATACTTATCCTTAAATATGTTAAATGGAAAAAAATGAAACCATGAAAAAAGAAAGCTCTTAAATAGAAGCATATTTATCTCCTCTTGATTTGGGGAAAATTTTCCAAGCATAAAAGAAATGGCAGCAAAAGTGAGGAAAAGATGAAAAGATTTGGCTGCATTAACAATAAAAAAAGTTTTTTGCCAAGAAGTATCTTTAGTAACATAAATATGGGCAAAAATCATAAACAGGTGGTTCTCAGATCAGATACATAGCTGTTCAACATAGAAAAACAGTGTTCAGTGTTACTATAAACCTAAACAGAAAACCTTGTATACCTTACTTGGCTGGCAAAAATTATTCAGTGTTGGAGAAGGTGGAATATAAATTGGCAGAATATTTCTGGAAGGAAATTTGGCCATAACAAAAACCTTGAAAATATGTCTCCTGTTTAACTCAGCAATGGTCAAGTACATGGATGTGTACATACAAGAATATCCATCAGTGTTTCATACAAGGATAAAATATTTTGAATTTTCTAAATGCACATTTCCTCCCTCTGGGTAGCCATCTTCTCTTCGAAGAGTGACCATTGCCTCTTTGCCTAGAAATATTGGAAATGCAGGAATGGTAAGCAAATTCCTAAGTGTTCTTAGTCAGAAGCAAATTAATTTTTATATCACCAAAAAAAACTTCACTAAATTTGTATTTTATTATTTCCTTAATGTCTGAACTTTAAAGTTGGCTGGGATGGAAAATAATGACCGATTCAGTAGGAGGTCAAGCAGTTGGTAAGTGTAATTTTATGATGTCTCTTTGGGAACCTTATTATAACTTGGCTAAAGTAAATGTTTGAAATAAGCAATATAGTAACATTTGTTTTGAATGGAGTATATGCAGAATAGTTATAAAAATTGGCACATGATCATGAAATTGTTTTCTTATGAGATAAGCATTACATGAATGTGTTAAAGAAAAAATAAGAACATATTGCTTCTGTATTGATTTAGGTAGTGGGAAATAAATTGGTAATGGCTACACAAGTATTTGATTTGATAAAGTGGCTATAATCATCTTTATTTAGGCGTATTTTGGGGTCAAAGCAGAGTGAACACCGTCCCTCATTACATCGATTTATTAGCACCTATTCCTGGGCAGATGCTGAAGAAGAAAAGTGTGAACTAAAGTAGGTGAAGCTTGATGTGTTTATTAACCTGACATGACTGGGGAACAAATAGTGGGCATCACTTTTATTCTGTGGAGTTCACTGCTGCATCATCAAAAAGACCATTCATTGTATAAGACTTTTATGAAAATAAAGCACTATGTAAATGTTACTTATGAGGACATTCACTCAGTACTGCAAGCTGTGAGGTCTTAAGTTAGAAAAGAACCTGAAATTTGCCAGATTTGTGAAGATAAATCTTTTTCCTGTATAGGTATATTGTCATCAGGGGGGAAGGTTCATACAGAGCCATAGAAATAAAATGTTCATCAACTTAAATGAATTATATACAACATGTGTGTGTGTATGTGTACATATAGACATAATGTATATGTTTATATTTATATATATCCTATAGGCACATATGTAATATATGTGCATTACATATACATCTGTCTTCTCTTTAGGTAAATGAAGAGTAGGAAAAACAAAACTCTACATTGCTATCTCTATATTTAGCAAGTGAAACAAATAAAACATACTTCTATAGTGAAAGGTAGAAGGTAAGAGGGAGGAACATAAAGAAATGCTGCCTCTAAAATCCTTGGTGACATTTGGTCTCAGTTTCCTCATCTGTAAAGATCTTAATGAAATGATTTTATGTTGGTTGTATACATGTTCCTTGCATGCCTATTATATTAGGCACACCA